TCGACGTTAGTAGAGCTCGTGGTCTCCTTTACTGTTTCCTTGTCTGATATAATTGCTGGAACCTTTGACGTTGTTAATGCCTTTCTTATAATTTTTTCTGTTCCTTTATCGTCAGATTCTGTGTCTGTCGGTATGATTGTTTTCATTTGATCCACATGTCGTTTTGTTACCCTCCCGTTTCCGATGATTTTGCACAAAAACATTTTTTGGCCAATTGTCTGAGTAACTTTGGCTTCCATCCACGCCTTTTTGTTGGTATCTTTATAATCTCTGATTGCCACTACTTCGCCTATTTGAAATTTCGTTGTTCTTGGTGTTTTCCGCGTGTCGTAACTTATTCTCTCTTCCTGCGGTTTAATCAAATTGAATAAAGTTCTGATGTTTCTATTCAGCATCCGGAAAGCAGGAGTTTCATTCGTTGTGGCGTGTTTTGCGTTCCTATAATGAATTAGATATCGGCTTACGAGAATGTCGGTGCGGGTGTTCTTATTTCGTTTGTCAAAAAGAGCGGTTTTCAGCCCTCTTTTAAACGATTTCACTGCGTTCTCTGCTGCACCATTTGATGCCGGATGATACGGTGCTATGGTTACATGGTGTACTCCATTATTTCGTAAAAATTGTTCGCAATCTCGTGAAACTAGTTGCGTTCCGTTGTCTGAGACTATTAACTCCGGGATTCCCCATCTGCAGAATGTCTCTCTTAGTTTGCGTATTGTTGTATCCGCAGTTATGTTTGGGACTTCGTATATTTCTGGCCATTTGCTGAATGCGTCCAGCATTAGAAAATAATATTTACCGTTTATCGGGCCTAAATAGTCGATGTGCACACGTTGCCAGGGTCTTGTAGCTTTGTTCCATGGCGTTGGAATCGCCTTTTGGGGATCATCAGACGTCATGATGCACGCCCTACATGACTTCGCTACCTTTTCTATGTTTTCGTCTAATTTTGGCCACCAGAAATACGATCTTGCGATTGCTTTCATTTTTACAATGCCTAAATGTACCCCATGGAGCTCGTCGAGGAGTCTTTTTCGTAACTTACTTGGTATTATCACCCGATAACCCCATAATAAGCATCCTTGTTCGCATGTGATTTCTGTTTTTCTACATGTGAAATGTTTCATATTTTCCTCTTTTACGTTCGTCGGCCATCCGTTTGTGACATATTCTAGGACCTTAGCCAGGACGGGGTCCCTTCTAGTTTCTATACCAATTCTTTTTGAATCTATTGGAATCCCTTCTGTGACAATCAGGTTCAACTGGTTGCTTGACTCTTCCTGATTTTCTTCTTCTTCAGTTGTCTGTAGCGGATGCCTTGACAACATGTCCGCGACATGATTTTCTTGCCCTTTTATGTATTTAATGTCATAGCTGAAACCTGCCAAATGTAGCATCCATCTTTGCATTCTACTTGAGTAGGACTGAGAAATTCTCTTGTTCATCGCGAAGACTGATACTAATGGTTTGTGGTCAGTTTCTATGACAAACTTGTTTCCCATCAGATAATATGCTAATTTTTTAGTAGCCCAATAAATCGCCAAAGCTTCTTTGTCGATTACGGCGTAGTTGCTTTCTGCTTTGCTTAGCGTTCTTGAGATGAAAACAATCGGTTTTTTTCGACCAGTATCTATTTGGTGTGATAATACGGCCGCAATACCGTCCTTTGATGCGTCGGTTGTGAGTACTATTGGTAGAGTGGGGTCGAAATGCGTTAACACTTCGTCTGACGCGATTATCGCTTTTATTTCCCTAAAAGCTAGACTACATTCCGCGGACCAGCGAAATTGTACGTTCTTTTTTAGCAGATTATAAATAGGTTTCATTAATATCGCTAATTTTGGTACGAACTTGCTATAATAGTTGATCATTCCTGCAAAACTTTGAACCCTTGAGCGTTGTGAGGGCATGCCCCGGTGGTGTAATCATGGTAACGATGATAACAGCCTAAGGGAAGAAATTATTTTAACCCCCCGTCAGTTCGCGGTATGAATTTTGTTAATTTAACTGCCGTAAATGAACTATTAGCAATCTTGTGTGAAGAATTAAGAAGTGTTATAATGGTGATTTCTCTGCCAATTTTATGCATTTGTTATACCCTAAATGGCTGTAATGGATTTTCTGTAGTATCTCTTTTCGCAATGATTTGGGGATTACATAGCTATTATTTCTATAAACTATTACATCTTCAATTACGAGATCACTTTTAAATTATATATATGGCCTAATTAGATTCTGAAACATTGACCTCTGAGACAACACATATGTGATCTGTTAGTTCTAGATCATTGCTAGCAGTATCAAGTCTGCAAGCCCTAGACAAAGCATCGGCGATTATAAGATCTTTACCACGTTTGTATTTTAATGTGAAATGATACCGTTGTAATGCTAACAATAATCGTTGCAGACAAGCTGGAGCTGAATTGAGCGGTTTTTTAAGCAAAGTTAAAAGTGGTTTGTGGTCTGTTTCGACAGTGACATGCCTACCAAAAACATACTCATGAAATTTGGTAAGCCCGAACCATATCGCCATTAACTCTTTTGTAATCTGGGCCTGGTTACTTTGACTTTGTGTTAAAGCTTTTGACGCATAATGCACCGGCCGATTATCTTGCATTAAACGCGCTCCGAGACCATTTTGGCTAGCATCAACTGACACAAGTATTTCTTTATCAGAGTTAAAAAACTGAAGTACTGGGCTATTATTTAATTTGTGTTTTATATTTTCGACTGCATTAACTACGTAAGACTCAACTTCATATGTTTTATTTTGCTGTGTACAACTACGTTTACAATGTCCTAGCATTAGTAATATATCTCCGGTATAAGATTTTAAAGTCACCTTTGCTGGCTTCAAAACTGAGATAGGTAATTTCAACTGTAAAAAATTATTTATCGTCACACAATTCACCAAATTCGCATCCTTGAGCTTGTTTCCACAGATCTGTAATAAATTCTTCAAGAGATGTGTCCGGTGTCTGCTTTGATTGGAAAAGTTTATATCGTGCAAATGTTAAGTTGTGCCGTGGTGCGAAGTGTTTGTTGAATTTCTCGATGACTACATTGAGTTTATTTTTCTCTGCCTCTTCGAATTTAAAAGTAGTGTGTATTTTCCGAATTTCCGGCCCCGCGAAGTGTAACAATTGGGCAATTTGGATGGCTTCATCTTTTTTATTTACTTCTGTGGCTACTAAATATATTTGGAACCCATTTAACCACTGTTTTCACTGTTCACCCGGGTTACCTCCGTTATTGAGAACAAGGCGAGGTAACGCGTTTGCCATTTTCGTCACTGCACTGTTTTAAATGTTTATTTTATAACCCTGATATCCACTGCAAATTTGCACTAACTCCTTTCTTCCTTTTTTGTCGCAGAGCAATGTCGCGACGCCTGTACACCAGGCGGGGTAACATTCAAAGTCCGATATTTCGAATTACTATTTATTAATAACCGACTAACTGTAGATACAAAGCAGGCAGCGGACCAGTGACGACTAGCGCTACCCTTGTCCACCTAGTGGTGTGTGGTGGGGGCAGATACACACATCCTAACTCCACACATTTTCTTCAAGTTTCAAAAGATCTTCAATTTTTGATTTTATTTCTGTCGTATATCTTCCAGCAGATATGTTCCATGACCGCCACAAAGCCTGATCAGCGGCACCCATATCTGATGTTATGTTTAAAATATTAAGATTAAGCTTTTCTGATTCTTCAAAGATGATTTCGATGATGTTTTTAAATGACTAGTCGTTCACAGAATTTCCATTAGAGTAGTAGGCAACAACCTGTTTCCATCTTGCATTAATTCCAGCTAACATAAATACTAAAACATGAGTTGCTAATCCTTCATGATTTAGTAGAGTTACATTACCAAAATATTTGTTTATATTTTTGTCATACGTTTTTCCTGGCGTAATGGCCATTTCGTCCAGAACTAAGCAGCAATCTCGCTCAACATTTTTAAATGATTCTACCTTAATCTTAAGAAATTTGAACACTTCGTGTAAAATTCCAGAGTCAAACTTTAAACCTTCCAATTTTCTCTGTAGTGTTTGAATCGACGGAGGTGGAATCATTTGTTGTAACAAGTGTTTGTAACCCGAATCTCCACAACTAAATTTTAGTCTTAATGCTTTTATAACCGTATTTTCTGACCATTTCATAAATTTTGTTAATTTTTTTAAATTCCTCTTTGTTAAAGCTATAATTTGATCTTGATTAAAAACGCTTCGTAATAATTTACTGTCTTCTCCCTCAGTTTCAGCAGTAATTTTAGCAATTTTTTGGTTTGCTGTTTTCAGTAAACGTTTATATTTTCTTGTTCGTTGTACTGCTTTAATATATAGCTTATCATATTTGTGCCTATTTGTGCATTTGTAATATTAATATGACTTATTCGTTCATCATTCTAAAAGAAAAATAAGGACAGGTTAGATTCTTTTAAAAAGGATCTGTACAAATTGGCAATCCTGGTGGAAAGTGTTCAGAGATTTTAGAAATCTTTTCAGGAGGTTCGTTAACAGTTTCAGTTAGTTTCAGGTTCTACATCTTCTACAGAAGTCCTCTTAGTCAGAGGAGTGATTGAAAAACCCTCGTTAGTGCAAACAAAAATTGTAGGAATAGCATTGCATTTTAATTTTCGGGTACCCGGCACCATCAACCCTAGTTTTTTTCCCACATCTCGTTTTCAATTTTTTGTCGGTGCATTTCGCAAACACCTGTAGGTATTTAAAATTCAGTAAGTATATGTATAATTATATTAAATCATTTTAGTAATTAATTTCAAAATTATTATGACAGTCTTAACAGATTTCTCAAAGTCTGTTGAGATTGATAAAGTTTGTTCAATAGTTTTTTCGTTTCAAATTTATTAACATAAAATTTTCTACCTTTGTAACGACAAAAAAATGTTATTTTTGCGTATTAGCTATTAGATTAAATAAATATTTGTTTCAAGCAATGTTTTTTGTGATTATATATTAATTACAAGCAAAACAAACATTAAATAACTCTAGTGTTTGATGTAAAAACAAATATTCCTTAATTTTCCTATGTTGCTCAGTACTCTTTTGTCCCGAATGGATATTACTGGTTACCTGATCATGTTGACAACATTACTTACACGGTTTCCAAACAGCAATGCGCAGTCCAGTTAATAATAGGTCAATGATTTATTGAATGCACTGCAAATTCCTTCCGTCTTCCGCCCTTGTGTTAATTAGTTAATATCCACAGACCATACACTGTATCGTCTGTACCTGTTGTGTTTTTGTGTTAATAATGTTAATATCGTGACTTTACTTGCGTTGCACCTATTTCATCTTAACCCTAACCTTTAATAAACATACCCATTTGGATCTTATACAAAACGTATAACCAAACTATAATAATTACATTAATATTATTATCGTTATTTACGTTTTGTCTACAAAATGGAAAACAATGAATCGTGGAGGACAATACCTTACAGACTAAGTGTGGCTTCAAAAATGTAAGTAGAAATATTTATTTACCAATTAAGTATAAACTGCTGTTTACTTAAATAGTGATGTAGAAATTCAGCAGCTGACAGTATGGTCTGGAAGAAAACCAACCCGATCCTGTTTTGAGATAGAGCAACGTCAGTTTCAGAAAGCGAAAAACAAAGAAGAATATTTAACATCTGTAGCTCGAATTATATTGTATATGCGAAACAGTAAGTTTGTGTATCAGAATTAGAACTGTTTATACATTCAATTTTCGGACATTGCAGAGATACAAGATGAATATGGTGTACAAAGTCTTATGAATAATTTGGAAAAATTAACAGTTGAAACCAATAATAATCCATTCTTAAAATCGGAACAGCAGCAACCAAGTGAAAGCAATTTGCTGCAAAACCCTCACTGTAGTTGTTGTAATGACCAGTCAGTAAATGGTACTCTACAAGGATTGCAATCCTGTGTCAACAACATAACACAACCCAACAGAGGTTTAATGCAAAATCAAATGCATAGTGATGACTCTTGGAAGACGACAGCTTTTAGGCATGCTGTAGTTACTAAAATGTAGATAAAATATGTTATATTCTTAACAAAGAAGTTATATTAATATGTTATTAGTGAGGAAGAAATTAAACAGGTGGGAGCAACATCTAACAATACCCTGGAAATTGAAAACAATGTATTTCAAAAAGCAAAAAATAAACAGGAATATCTTGAGATCTGTAGCACAGCTGATACTACATATTCGTGAAATACGTGAGTATCTGCAATGAACGTTTTTAAATCTATTTTTTCCTCTTTAATTTTTTGAACGCAGGTACGGAGGTGAATAAAACAACGGCAATGGATGTTTCATAGAGGTGAAAAAAAATGTATGCCGAATTTATCCATAAATAAGGACCAGTTTTTATATTTTACATTGTTGTTTGGCTAAACACAGCTTGTTAACTTTTTATAAATATATATTTCCATAATCCATTGACAGTTAAGTGTTTGATTTTATAGATAATGTATGTAGCTCCTAAATATTTAGGTACAAACATTGTTTTGAAATTGACAAATGTAACTTTGTAACCGTGAACTTAGTAAATCCACACAATACAAATTACAACTATTTAGCACTATGAAAATCAAAAAGACTGCGTGTGATACAATATATTTACGTCGTAATCTGAATGTTACTGTTTAAAAATTCAGGGTGATTCATGAATTATGTCGCTGTAATTACAGTATAGACGTCAATTGATATCTATACTGTGCTGTAATAGTTGTGTTTATGCAACCCAAAATACATTTTCACAGACTACTTGGCTCCACCACACCTCAAGAAAATTTCTATTTTAAAAGATATGCAACTTGTAAAACAACCCATGCTGCCTCGTTATGACAGCTGCCACTCATCTCTAAGGGTTAAAATCATTGACTTCGTTTACAATAATAACTAGTTTTATTACTGTTATTGTCAACGGGGGAAGTGTATCCCTGCTTGCAGGTAGAGCAGAGTAAGGAACTAAAATATTTATCTACTATGAAAGAAAACAAACAATATTTCTTAGCTTACGTTCGAGAAGTAAAAACGCAAAAACACGTCTACTGGTATATAAAAATTGCCATTTTGTAATATTAGTTTCAAAAGTTTTGAGCGATATTTGACAGGTGTATGACGTCATCGATAATTTTTTTAATAGCACCTCCTACTTTTTTGTAGCATAAAGTCCTTTGAAAGAAAATTTTTGCTATGCAGTTTAACATAATTTACTGTCATAAGAAATGAAAAAAGCCAAATGTATGTTTTAAAATAAATTAATAAAATCATTGTCAGAGACTGTGGAGATTTTTACTCAAAACAAAAAAATGCTTGGTCGTATATACAGGGTGTTTCAGAAATAAGTACATTAATTTTAATCAGTTATAGAGCTCATTGAACTCAACAACTTTTCTTAGTAGAGTTTTGTCAAGAACTTTTTAATTATCAAGTTAAAAATTGTTAAATTTACACCCCAATTAAGGTTACCCGCCCATGGATCCTCAGTCACCCATGGACACTAATAATTATTATAATTAATAATTTATGGTCAAAAACAGTTACTAGGATACGTATTTTCCTAATCTTGTCAATGTGACAAACATTTAGAGAGAAATTGAAAATCCTGCTCCCTAATGGCGTACGGAATTCCATCGGCCCAAATGTGGCTGTTGAACACCTTCCCTCGTGTAACCGACCTCATCAGTTGATGGTGTAAGAGATACAAAATTTGCTTGTTCGTTTATTTTTCTATTAACCAATTCACAAAAGTTTTGCCTACGTGGTAAGTCTGTTAGTTTCAATAACTGAGCTTTCTGGTCCTGAAAGGGGCACATTTGTTCTCTGAGTATCCTCCAAATACTACTCTCCGATACATCACACTAGACAGTGATACGTGCTAGTGCCCGGTCGAGCTTCGACACTCTTCAAAACAGCCTCTTTAATATTAGCAATTCTATTACTACGTAACTTACCCCGATCCTGAGGTGCAGGTTTAAAAGATCCGTACTCTCGAAAATGCTGCAACGTTCTTAAAACTGCGCACATTTGGCAGACGATTTGGGAGGTTTTCTGAAAAAATTCCTTGGGCGCGAGTGCCATTTCCCCGAGCTTCACCGTACGTTAAAACGATATCGGTGCATTCCAGATTTGAAAACAAAGCCATTTCAACACATTTCGTCTATAAATTAGAAATCTGTGCCAAAAAAAATTTAAAGAGACAACGTTTAAAAAAAACATTGACATAAAAATGATTGTCAGTGTCAAAACGGTTGCTACGGTACCTTCTTCATTGTTGTAGTGTTGCTATTATTTAAATTATTATTTAAGGTGAACATAGACGGCTCGTGAATATATGGGTGGAAAAATTCGAAATTCGACTTGAGTTTTCGAAAAAATGCTAGATAAAAAAGTTGTTCCGTTCCACGAGTTCTGTTACTGGTTAAAATTAATGTACTTATTTCTGAGACACCCTGTATAATTCCGACCATAATTCTTAGTCTTATTTTTAAATTCCTGTTTCCATAAAAATTCGTACGTGTTGAGCATATTCTGTAAGTAGGTAGAAAAGTAAAATTAAATTTCCAAGAATATTTTATTGTAGGTACGAAGGTACGTTATTGTGAGTATTTCTTAGTAATCTAAGTAGATACATACCTAGTTACCTCTCGGAATGTATTTTGAATGAAGCAAATTGGTCGAAGGTTATTTCGACAGAACATCTAGCGCCTCTGAAATACAATAAAACAAACCCAGCTTTTTCGAAAAATTATAAAATTTGATTATGCGAATTTATTTTTTGAGAACCCGGGTAAGTTAAAATTTTTTCCAAAAATTCTAGATGTCTAGGGTGAAAATTCTACACGGATTTACACACCACAAGTGCAGGAGTATCTAATTTTATAAAATTTAAAAAACTTTGTATTATAAATTTTGGAGATGACGTCATCCCATTGGTGGTGGAGATGATTTGCCAAATTTTAGTTAGCGTTTAACCATCTACATGATATTTCTAATATACATATAAAATATAGCAATCGATCCAGTAGTTTCGGAGAACACTTGTCTAATAAAAAATGGATACAGACACCAGACAGACAGATAGACAGACGGACATACGGAAACGGGAGACCACTTTTTTCATACTCTAGAGGTCATGACACGTCGAGAAATTAGTACTGGACGTAGAATTGTTGGCATAGGCCACTTATTAACAACACTGAAATCAATCAGTGATAATATGTTGGGCTGTACTTTAGATAATATTGAAAAAACTCATGAAAATTGTTATGGTTTAAAAAATGTTTTCTACTACAAATGTAATATGTACGGAATATTCGGTAATTTTTGTACTGAACCTGAAAATCATATATACAAAGTCAATTACTCAGCTATTTGTGGAGCTAGATCAACGGGCGTAGGTTATTCTCAAATTTCAGAATTTTGTTCAGCTCTAGATATCCCTCAAATGCCCCACGCGACATATCATAAAGCCGAGGTTAGAGTTCTAAAGAGCATCGAAGCACTTTTCGAAGAACAAACCAAAACGCAGGTAAAGAAGAGTACCGATTAGCTGTGAAAGAGTTATTGTCGATGTAGCTTGGAGCAAATGCTCTTACAAATCCAATTACAATGCACTGTCTGGGGTAGGACGCATAATTGGTGCCAGAACTAAAAAATACTTTATGTTGGAGTCAAAAACAAACTTTGTAGTTTCTATAAAATCTATATGAAACAGAAAAAAGAAATTCCAACACATAACTGTTTTATAAAACTAGGTGCAAACATCGATGTCCATGGAAGCTTCAATTATCTTAGAGGGATTTACTTTAGATACTTTATTCTATTTTAGAACCATAATCTTATTTATAAGCACCCAAATGCGGGCTTAAATTGGCCTTTTTAGCACAAATCTATCAAAAATTGCTAAGCAACAATTGATTGTTCATTTACACTAATCAATTAATTAATCAACCACGCTTCGATATTCAGCCTTTTTCTTAAGTTGGAAAAATAATATTTTATCAAATCATTACCTGACCGACTTCAAATTCTTCTAAACTTTCGTTTGAATAAAGGTTTTCCGCTTCTTTAATTTACATTTTGAAAAACGAATTATCAAATAATCAACGTGGTATCCATAACAACATCAAAATAATAGCCAGCTATGTATTAAAATTCGCATCGGCACAATTCACACAGTCTTGCTGAAAATACTCAATATTTCGTTAAAAATAGTTTAGAAACTAAAATAGAATAAAACGTTGTATGTACCACGTGCATAATTGTCGATTGTGGCACTCGGGAAATTAAAAGCCCTCCTTCGTCGGGCTTTAAACATTCCCTCGTGCCACAATCTCCCTGATTATGCCCTTAATACATAAATAACTATTATAGGAGAATTATAGGCATCGAGGATAGTAGTGTATTAAAAAAAGTTGGGGCTGCAAAACCAAATGGTGCATATTATTTTATAGAAAAAATTGAATGTAGAAATCACATACTTCGTAATTATTGTTCCAAAATTAGAGAAATAGTTAAAACAACGAAAGCAAATATCACTAGTAAAAATGTTTTTAAAAATAATATTCTAAAATTTAGAACAGCTATTATAAGTGCTATTAAATTTAGTAAAAATGAGCCTCTTCTTTTTTTTTCCAGCATATATTTGGCAATCACGAACAATGCGCAAGCTATTTTAGTTATAAAAGTGTACAGTCAAATGATATTTTATTTTATACTTCCGCAAATGGTGTTTTATACTAACCTTACAAACAAGTTTTAAATCGAGTTGCAACTTTGTCGTCTAGTTTACTTTTTGATATTGAGAACAATGCTGTGGAATGCTACAATTATGTCGTTAATAAATTTGTGGGAGGAAAAAGAATAAGTTTTTCTGCACGAGGATCGTATCAAGGGCGATGCTTTGCTGCGGCAATAATTTATAATAATAAGGGTACGTTCCTAATTTCGTTATTCAGAAAAAAATTTTGGGGAGGCCACTGTTAGTATACGAAGGCGTTTGCGGAAAATAATTGAAAAAAATAAAAACGATTGATAAAACTAAAACCTCTATTAAAAAATTGCGTATCCGAAGTGCGGATTCCGGCAAAAATAATATCGTCGACGATGAACAAACGAAAACTGCAGATATATTACCTGAAGTGTATGAAAGAAAAAAATCGGATTTATTAATAAAGCTGTCACAGAGTAACGTAAACGCTATTGAAAAAGGTACTTGTGGTCAGCGAATGTGTAGGGAATGGAGTAAAGAAAGGACAAAGTGAGAGACGGAACTAACACCGCAAATACCGTTAAAAGTATTGTGCATTCCGTTAACACTTTATGAAAAAATTGCCCAAGTCTATACAATTTGGTATTGACAATGAAGAAAAGGCCAAAGAAAAATTTGAAGCTCTAACAAATTTGAAAAAAAAATTTAGCCGCTTCTCCAGATGAGTTAATAAATTCTAATTCAATTGCAGAGATTAAATGTTCATATGCGGCTTGCAGTAAGAATATTAAAGAGCTATTAAAAATAAAATCATTAATTATTGTTCAATAAATTCAGATAATACAATTAGTTTGAACCCGAACCACAACTATATGTATCAGGTATAACAGGATCCACTGCATATAACTAAAAGAAAATGGTGTTATTTTATCAGTGTACACTAACGTAGATTTAGAATATTTTTTGATTGAAAGAGATGATGACTTCTGGAATAAACATATGGTAAATGCATTAGAAAATTTTTATTGAAATGCCATGCTACCAGAAAGTGTTGACTCGTGGTGGAGTCGAAATCAACAACTTCGAAATATATTCAAAAAAGATTTATAGACAAATGCATTGATTACAAATGTCAAGTTTTTTTTGGCAATAACTGTAAAATGTTGAATTTTATGCTTTGAAGGGGTCTTTGTTTTTTTGTTATTATTTTTATTTTATTAATATGATTTTATTAATGATGATATTTTCCTGTGATTGTTTAATATTTAAATGCAGTGTATAGAGGCAGGGATGTCAGCACTCTGTTTACCAAACTCACAAAACGCAAAACAATTACACCTTTTTGCTATCTATAAATTTCTGCTTGAAAATTCTTTGGTATCATCATACCCTGGTATCATAAAATCTATCTCTGCCTTTCGTACTGTCAGAGCCAACGTACCTATACACAATATTCGGCGCCGGATTAAAAAATCGACCGCGTCAGCCAGTTTGTATGTATCCGTTTCCATTTGTGCAGTATAAGTACTCCTCTCTTAGAAATTGTAGTAATTTATAGCTGCAATTTTTATTTGCTTTACTGCACAATGCACATATTGTCATAGACATATCCTACATCCCTAATATATCTTGAATAAATGTATTCCAATAATAAAATTCAATTTAATTAATATCATTCATTTAATTAAAAGGGGGAATCAAATCAAAACAACAATGTAGAAATGTCATCATATTTCTGTAAAAATTTTACTCGCCTTTATCCTTCATTGCAATTGTCAGGTACTTCAAGGGGTGGTCAAATAAGCTTAAGGTATTTAAAAGGTGCTCTATTGTTGGGTCATAAATTACAGCTTACTGCCTCAGCTAATATTTTGGGTTGCCTAACTTACCAAAATTTGTCCCAAATGCTTTGCAGTTTTTTTACAATAACTAAAAGAAGTAAAATTTTAACAGAAAACGAAAAATGGCGCCTAAAGTAGAAAAAATTCTCTATCACCTCGATATTTTTTAAAAGCACACCGAGTTATAGTTTTCGCTAAAGATCCGCTGGGGTTTTACGCACTTTATTTTTTATTTTAAAAACTGCTACGTTTTTTAAAAAATACAAGACTCTTCGTTAAAGATTTTTATGTCATGAGCACGCACATGTATCGTCCTGCTCTTCAACTGTTAAAATGAAGGCGCAAAATGGGCTTGCGTTTTGCCTGATTTTAGCATCTTTTAATGACTCTGTGGCGGAGCCTTAATTTGAATAATTCTTTAATATCAGAGTTATCCAATTTTGAGAAACGTCAAATGTGTCAAAAATATTTTTCATTTTGTCATTAAAAGTACAGCAAATTGTACTTACAAAAAAAATAGGGGAGTATTTTAGTACGGAAAAACAATATTATTTCACAAATGAAATTTTGAAAAAACACCAACATATTAATTCAAAGAAATGTAATAAATAAATTGAACAATTAAACATATTTAACTAGCATAGATATTTTTGTGCCACTTCCTTAAATTGATTAAACGTCCCTAATTTCCCCCAGAATCTTGATGCGCCCCCCTGAATCCTTCTAGCGTCCCCTGGGGGCGGTACCGCCCACTTTAGGAACCAGTGTGAGTATAATTTCCGCTCGGGAAATAAATACAATTGACCAGTAAAGTGAATGACGCGCGAAATTTGAACTCAGTTCATAACACGAGAGCCGTATTTCAATTCCCCGTGTAATCCTTATGGGTGAAATCGAGGCGTCACTTTAACGCTTAAATTGTACCATTAAAGTAATTTTCTTATATATCCCACTACCTGTACCATTAAGACTGATATTTTTACTGTTGATCTTGATGCCAAACATGAGCGGAACCGGTGGTATTTAATAAATATTTAAATTCAACTTTTACCACTACATTTGCCTCGAACGTATGTCGTACAGTGGTTCATACTGCCATTGACTTCCCCCTCCACATAAATGGCTTTGATTTTCAGATGCTACAGATACGGCTGTGAATTGAAAATAATATATAAAGGAGATCTCATATTTGCAAATGTTTTCAATCAATTGCCAAATTTTGATTTAAGAATCATCATCAATCCCAAGCTTTTTTCTTTTCACACATTTTTGCTAGAAAAGGAAAAACTTAGCATTCCTGATTAAACCTTTCATGTACAAGTAAAAATCACTTTCATTTTAGTACGAATTGGGTGTGAAACACCGATTAAAAAAAAAATCACAATTTAAAGAACAATTTATTTCAAAACAAAAAAAATATTCTACAATAAAAAATTGCACTTCCTAATGCAAAATAATCTGATTCACTTTTGGTGAAAAACTGACCCACAAACTGTTATCTTGATGGGCCATTTAAATAGTCCTCGGACACTAATAGTTCTTCGAAGTAGGTTTTCTTCAGATCTTTCTGGTTCAAGGCCCAATAGCCAAAGCAGTGCTTCGCTCCCATCAGTTTGTCGTAAGCTTTCATGAAGTTGTACCTCAACATTAGCTGTTTTTAGGCTGACTTGGGGATTAAAAGAATTTTCAGAGACAACAACTCTGACTTCAGCTGATTCACTTTTCTTCAGATGTACGTCCCAAGCACGCAAATTATTGGTCCAAAATGCATACATTATAACGTCCGTTTAGGGGCAGGTGTAGCCATATGGTGACATACAAATACACCTCTTGGGGTTTCACATGTTGCCTCTCTTAAGGAATATCTATGCATAATAAAACAAAATACGTCATAATTTTACTTGATACAGAATTTATCAATATACATTAACTTACCATAATCTTCTCGCATTATAGCTCGAATAAACTGTTCAAGCACATTTAATTCAGTATACCAATTGACTTTCACTACATCATTTGACTGTAAAGAATTTTCTCCAACAAAAAAAAAATGGCAATTGCCCCTATTGTTAACACATGTCTTTCTGTCATTATTAATAACAAATATAAAAAAAACCAGTCCACAGATACATACAACCTAATGTGAATCAATATCACAGAACTGATATACCATCTAAAAATTGTGATTATGATTGTTTGTTGTGATGAAAATACGAAATCAACTGTCATATTTTGGGGATTTTCACGATCCAAACGTCACTAGCCCCGCAAAATATTCGCGTTCTTTTTCTGTCCGGCGTGTTTCTGGATTTTCCGTTTCACTCATGCGCAAGGCATTAGAAACGATGTACGTTACTTTGATGAACATCGTTGTTTTTAATTTGCGATATTTCTTTAACAAAAGCTTTTTATATAGTTAAGCCTTCAGTAACAGGAAGATAATTGAACAGTCTTTATCGCTTGTAGCATGAACTAGTTAAGATTTCTACTTGTGCGATGTATTTTGTCTGTAAAATCAAGCTCCCATAAGAAACCCATAGTAGAATTTTTGAATTATGAACTGCCGCGCATTCTAAATTCTAACCTTACTTTACTGGTCAATTACTGCCTTAATCGTTATTTCAAGGACGTTTGTTTTGTCTTTGGTGTTTACTTTTGTTTTAAACATGAAAATTGTCTCAACATTTGAATTACCGCCTTTTTGAAATATCAATACTGTCTATTACCAATATCGCTCGACAATCCCTAAATGGCACTAAAACGACAATAGCCTATCAAGCATTCAAGCGCAGCAGTGTTGCTGTTCTGTGGTGGTGGGGTTGCAGAATTGAAAGTTGTTAAAACAGATTCGTCAATCTCTGAAACACAAAAGAGTTCATCAAGAAATTACCGGAATATTTATACATTAACCACAAAATGGGGGACGACGGATCGTGGAGAACATCGGCTTTTAGGCAGAGTGTAGTTGCAAAAATGTAGGTGATATTTATTCTTCACAAGTACGTGTTAAAAATTGTTTATTTTATTAGTGAGGAAGCAATTCGTCAATCAGGAATGAATACGTCACGAAACAGCTTGGAAATGGAAAACCACGTATTCCAGAAAGCAAAAAGCAAGGAGGAATATTTGGGTTATGTGGCACGATTAATTTTACATGTTCGAGAAATGAGTAAGTTTGCTTAAAAGGAAATTTTAATTATTTAATATTGGAACGTTCCAGACACAAAAAAGGGAACTGGAATGGGTGTTCCTGGAGCAAACCAAGGTGGCCCTGGTGTACCAGATCCGATAAACGCTTTACAAACATTAGCAATACAAGGCACTCGTAACCCTCTGATGACAATGGGAGGACAACAGCAAGGTCCCATGGGAGCACAGCAACAAATTACTGCAACCAACTTGCTACAAAACTTGAACCGTGGTCCAGGCCAACCCATGAATAACATGCAGCAAGGGTTACAACCACGACCCAACATAGGAATGGGGCCAAACGGGGGTCCAATGCCAAATCAAATGAGTAATCAAATGGGTCAAATGAACACGCAAATTTCAAATCAAATGGCCAGTCAGTTAGGTGGCCAAATGCCCAACAATGGCATTAACCAAATCCCTAATAATGGGATGAATCAGATGCCTAGTCAGATGGGGAATCAAATGCAAGGTTCAGTACAAAATCAAATCGGCAATCAAATATCAAACCAATTGCCTGGGCAAATACAGATGGCAGGGCCCATGCAAAGTGCTATTAATGGCCCCATGGGAAATCAAATGCAGAACCAGATTTTGGGACAAATGCAAGCCAATAAGCCTGCAGGAATGATGATGGTGAATGCTCCTAATACAGGATTTCCTAGGAATCCAACCCCAAATTCATTCTTAAAACGCAGCCCATCGCCCTCGGTCCAGTCTCCAGCTGGTTTGAGTGGAGCGCCAACTAGTAACCAAATGGTGGCGTCTCCAGCATTAGCACCATCACCCAGCTCTCAAATGAGCATATTGGGGGCAGGAGGACCTCCAAGGTCTGTTGGCATGGTACCAAGCCCTGGAAGTTCTTTAAACACTCCAGGGCAGCCTAACCAGAGCCCCATGGGGATGCAAGATGAACAAGCATATCGTGAAAAAGTCAGACAGCTAAGCAAATACATTGAACCACTTAGGAAGATGATAGCTCGAATGGGAAATGATGGTGAACGTAAGTATAATAATTTTTTCAGCCTGAATTTATTGATTAAAGTATAATTATAGATGTGGAAAAATTAAGTAAGATGAAAAAGTTACTCGAAATCTTATCAAATCCTCAACAGAGAATGCCATTGGAAACTTTAAAGAAATGTGAGGTGGTTTTGGAAAAATTGGATTTTAAGAGAGGTGATGGTAGCGTTCCCACGTCTACAAGCGCTCACTTGCCCATAAAAGAACATCACGTGTTCAATCCACTCCTTGAAGCAGTCAGTAATAATTTACAGAGCTCTGTGATCAATCACACATTGCACAGGACTTTTGGACCAACATTAGAAGCGTTGTTTGGCCCTGAAATAAAGTAAGCTGAAAATAGTTGTTTTGAATTATTTTATTGTGTATAATTTTGCTAGATTGGTGCCCCCATTGAAGAAAATTAAACTTGAGGAACCCACCAGTGACATTCCAGATGTGCTTCAAGGTGAAATCGCGCGACTTGACCAAAGGTTTAAGGTTTCTCTTGATCCAAATCAGCAACCTGGTTCAAAATCCATACAGTTGACATGTTGGTTGGATGATAAACAATTACCCTGTGTCCCTCCAATATCATTGGTTGTTCCTGAGGATTATCCAAAGTCAGCTCCTAGTTGCCATATGGCAGCTCATGAATATAACGCGACTCAGTTTCTGTCTGCTGTCCAAACCGCTCTTTTGGCAAGAATTAAGAAATTACCGAAATATTTTTCAGTTTCTCAGTTATTAGATACTTGGGAAATGAGTGTGAGGCAAGCTTCAGCACCAACCAGTGTACCAGTCTTTCCAACAACGATTTTGATGGGTCTGTAAAATAAAAGATGTATAATTTAATTTTTACATAGAATCTGGGTTTTTAAATTTTATAAAGTAACAATGATAAACCAATAAGACATTTTAAATAGTCGAAATAAATAGTAGGTATTCTATTATTGTAAATATTATGTATACTATATGTACTTCTTGATTAATGTATTAGTTGTATTTAGCTGCATATCGCAATACACTCTAATTAGAATCTTAAAGATTTAACAAGTCATTCTTTAATGTGATTTATGACAATATTTTTTCAGCAAACAAATATAGCATCACACTAGTTTAAGGAAGCGCAGTCAGTTGCAGACGTGAAGCCTTTTCCATATCTTTTACATTTATACAGGATATATCCCACCATGGGAATAAAGATAGATACTCGCTTTTTGTAAGCTTTTGAAAAGATATTTTGCCGCGTTGTGGCAGAACTCGTAGTTGATAGTTTTTTAGCATTTCGCAATAAGGTAATATGAATAAAAAATGTAACTTTCTCTTTCTCTTTTCTGTATTACGTGTATCGTCTCTTTGTCAGCAAACACAAGAGGAACTCAGCAATAAAATCTTCATTTATTTTCTGGTGTCTTCAACGAAACGATTTGTAGACAATTTTTTGTGTTTTTTTGGTTCATGGAAATCTTTTTAACGAATAATGTTCGAAAATGTATTTATTGCTGTGAAATTTTATGGAATGGTTGTTTATTAATCCATCACTTTTTTAACTCCAGATATCTTTGTAAAAGATACATTACTTTACATGGCGGACTTGTGTGAAATTTTGGTAAGGCACAAACATTTATTTATGGATTACAAAACGCCGACGTCTACTTTTTCCTGTACTTGCGCAATATATTTTTATTTTATGAACTTGTTTTACACTGAATGTTTTAACTCTTCACTTACAGCTTCCTCTAAATGTTGACATGTTATTATGAGTGTTACATTGTCTATAAAATTAAAATGTATGTCTCCATCAAAACGTTTCATTCGTTGAAAAAGTAAATAATGCTACAGCAAAAAATTGACACAACATAATATTCAGTATTCACTATTGTAATTAAATTTACTATTACTCGTATTAAATTAATCACTTCATCTCCAAAATCCAAGGTATATATGCAATAAGTTAAAAAGTTCCACATTCAATTCTAATTTAATAAACTTTTTTATTCAATGAATTTAAAAATTAAAACCATCGTTTAAGTAATCCTCTGTAAGCAAAACATTCCATATAGTAAAAATGAATTTTAAATGACCCACATATATAAATTGTTCATTGTTCATTTTTCTATGAATAACTTGTATCATGGTCATTTACTAAAAGTTTAAAGTGTGACTAAGAAATTACCATAATCTTGCCTATATTACAATTTGATAAAATCTATCAAACAACACCATTTTTAAAATTGGTGCCAAATTTTGTACTGTCAATTTCTAATTAATCATTTAAAATTGAATGCATTTAGCCAAAATTTGACCTTGATGAGATATTGTTTTTTTCTGCAAATTGTATTCTTCATTTACCGCGAAAAAGAAATTTCACCTAAATATTTTGACTTTCTACCCACTGTTGCCAACTGCACCATTATTACTTAGTTCATTTTCTTTTTATTTGATTGGTAACTGAAATGGCACCGCTGTCAATAGTGTCAATGTCATGTGTTCGCAACCAATAAAATCGCAAACAAATGACGTTAGATTGTTGGTTGAGTCATTTACAAATTTAACGAACAATTTTGCATTAACAAGTTGTCAGAGTCCTATCATGTGAAAGTGCGTGTTTCAGTTTTAAAACACATTTTAAGAACCCTCTTTTTTTATATTTTTAGCAGTTTTGTGAAATACCGTCTCAGTGTCATTGCACCAAAAAAGTTGTAACAAAGTACCATGTTTAGCGGAAAGAAAACAGGAAAAACGAAACGGGATCATTCGGGAAAGAACTTATCACAGGTAGTTTTTCATATTATGTTAAATACTGCATGTCATATAATTTTCACAGTATGGTCTTTTTGATGTGTCGACTGATTTCAACCTTGATGGCGGCCTAAATGGGGGGTCAATGGATGATGGAGGTGATAGTGATTTGGAAGCTGAGTTAGCAGCGTTAACTGGGGGTGGAGGAAATCGGCAAAGAGCGACTCCACGAAGACAGCCAGTGCCAGATGCAGATTTAGATAATATGGTGGCAGCAAGTATGAAAGATATTCCATCTGATGAAGAATTGTCTGGGGATGACGACGACCCTGACTTGCTAAATGAATTGAGCAACATTGCAGGTTGTAATTTTTTATTTGACAGATCTTTGGAAATGTAGCATTAATTACGGAAGTTTCCACTCTGTTATATGTGTATTTGTTTTTTATTTATTTGTTTCAAAATGTCTGTAGTTGTAACGCAAGCCCACTTAGATGAACATTCAGTTTGATTTTTTCATTCAATTATTTTTACAGCTTTCTGTCATTACATACTTTCTAAATTTTTCACCGAATTTTTATGTAAATACTGGAAAAAAGATGCCACTTTGCTTGAAAAGTTTTTTAAATATAGTGTAGTTTGATATTTTTGAAGAGTACATATTATGTTAGAAGTGGGATACATAGTAGCTATTGTTACCATTTAATTATGAAGTTTGTTCACAACAAACCATCATATCAATTGTGTAAACATACAAATGTGATAATAGTGCGTTGGCCTACCTATACATAACATCCAAAGTTTTATTTACTATAGAATTTAACCTATCTTATTTTTAAGAAATCAAAAAGTATGACGTCTACTAGAAATACCGAGTGCGTATTAATGTTTGTCATTTTTTCTTGCTATAGAAAGAGCAATAAAAAACTGGATCAAAAATAGCCATTAAACAAAGTACCTACATCTTTTGAGTTTATTTGAACCTTAATTGGTCATTATAGTACGAAATAATCTACTTTTTCCAGGGTATTTTCTTTTTTCTAAGAGCACTAAGCACCAATTTTTTTTTGTTCTTTTGCACTATATTGGATCGTTGCATTGCTTACCACTGAATTATAATTAAAATATTAAAATTTTTGGTTCACAGGTTTGAAAACTAAAAGTAACCAGCAGTAACGTTTAGGCTGTAATTATTTTTGAAAAAGAAAAACCAGGAAATCGCTGCTGTTTAGATATAGTAATAAAATAATTAAGAAAACGAATTACTCTGTTTGATTTTTTTTTTTAATATTAGTTCCTAAATTGTTGAATTCATTCCATAAGTAGTGCCACACTTAAGGGTTAAGTATGTTGGTCTTTCTAGTAATATTGCTTCCCTATGATCTTTTGAAACAAGAGGAGAAATAAAATAATAACAAGAGAATGAAACAAGAGACAAGACATTTAAAAAATAGTTTTCATCTTTGATCATAAAAAATACATATAAACTTCTGTTTATTATGGCTACATTGCCACTAACAAATTAATTAACAATACAGGTGAAGAAATAGAAGAAGAGCAACCACAGGAATCACCAACTAAATCAGCAGATAGTTCCGACGACACCGTAAAACTCTTGAATGACAGGCTAAAAATGTACGAAGAAGCAGAGAAAAACGCCAAAACGGCAGGACAATCTAGCAGAGCACGTCGATTTACTAGGGGAATTAAAACACTTAAGGATCTTATAAAACAAGCAAACGCGGGTCGGCCAATCAACAATGACGACATACCACCAGAAGTCAGTACCGGCGCTAAAAAACCTGCTCCTGTTGATACAGATGGTACACCCTCACTACCACAACCAACAAGAACTGCTCCTCCCGTCCCCGCACAACCAGAGCCTGAACCAGAACCAGAACCCGAACCATCTCCAGAAAAAACCGCAGAAGAAATTCCTTCATCACCACCGATTCAAGTAGATACCCAACTAGTAAACATGTTAAATGAACGAAAAAATCAATACAAAGTGGCTGCCTTAAAAGCAAAGAAATCTGGTGATACCGCAACCGCCATTAGTTACATTAAAATTGCCAAACAGTTTGAAACGGTCATTGCGGCAGCGGAAAGTGGACAACCTGTCGATATAAGCAGAATGCCAGAACCTCCTCCGGATCCGTCGCAGAAAGTCGAAGAAAGTAGACTTCAAAATGATAGTAACCCGGAGCCTCCTGCCGCCGAAGGCGACGATGGCGAGGAAAGTTTGATAATGGCGTCGTCGGTAGAAGAAGCTCTCGAACAAAGATTAGCGGTGTACAAGAAACAAGAAGATAGTGCGAAGGAACAGGGCAATTCTAGTAAAGCTAGAAGAATGGGACGGATTGTTAAGCAGTATGAGCAGGCTATCAAAGCGCATAAAGCGGGAAAACCGATTCCGGTGGACGAACTGCCGACACCTCCTGGATATGGCCCTATTCCTGTGGCCGGTGCTGAATCTGCAAAACCAGCACCTGCTCCTTCCAGACCGGCAGCAGCAACTGCCGAGAAACCGAGTCCGCCTGAAAGACCTCCAGCTCCACCCAGAAGTAAACCATCAACTTCTCAGACTACCAGAATAACAGGTAATTTTCTTGATCATTACCCACGCTAGTACATTAAGATTGTGGAAATATTCGATTATTCAATTTGGCAAACTTGGGTGGTAATTTAGCAATTGAAGTCATTGTAGTAGGATTGAGTATGTGTTAAGTTTGTGGATAAGTGAAAAAAAACTTAAGTGTTTTTTTGTTTTGATAACTATTCTCCAATAATAAAAACACGTAAAAAATAGATCTACCGTTTCTATTGATTAGAAAATGCGTGTCGCAATAGAATCTTGTTCTTCATGCTAGTTTCACGTATTCCCTGTACCTAGTCGGCAGTTTAGTGTTCGCCCAAATAGCCAACATTAACGAAATGGTTTTCGATAGATATATTTCGGGATCACAATGAAACATTTACGGGTACGGTACTAATAATTTACAACTATCAACATTGTATTTTTTTAAATGAAATGTGTTAGATATTTTTGCAAATTTATATCCTTTGTGAAAAGAGGAGGAAATGATGTAGATATATGTATACAAGGTTTTTTTAATCACTAATTTTTAATGTATGTATTTGAACTTCTGTGTAAAACAAACATAAATACATACATATATAAATACCTATAGCAGTATGGGAAAACCATGATTTGCAAGTTTGATCACCCTGGATAAATAGGTGAATATACCCTCCAGTTTGGTATACTTTTGTCAAGGCAAGGTTATTAACAAGTTTCGTGCAAAATGTGGTCATGTTGAGAATTTTGGAATATGACCATTTCTTTGCATGAAATTGTAGGTATCTTCAAAACTCCTAATCAAAAAGCCTACGCCTATCATGTTGTTATTGTTATTTGGATAAAGATTTTAAATCTGTAAAAAAAAAAAAAATACTGGTGCATAACTTTGAAAACGGCCTGAATATTTTAAAGTTGTAACTTGAGGACCATACACTAAAATGATTTTCAACTATACAGGCTGTTCTGTTTTTTATGTGGAACACAACTTGGTTTTCAAATAGAATATCCTATATGTTTTATATATTCGGATTGGCCTCTTAGGCTTTATAACTATGGTTTATTTTCGAAATTCCCATGCGACGTTGCCAAGTTATTGCAATTTTTTTCAAATTTTTTAGCAGTTGAAGGGTTTACAAAAAATCGCAATAGGGTTATTTTTAAAATTTGGGTCACAGTATTTTGTGAAGGGATAAATAAATAAACATAAATCAACAATTTTCAAATATCGATATTTCAGTTTTTTTCCAAATTATTACTGCATCTTATTCTGTTCTTTTCTTCTCTTTCTTTTTTCTATATTTAAAGTTGATAGTTACTGATAATTTTACTTTTTTAAGGGACACACCGACATTGAAAGAAAGAGAGTGAAAACTAGAATAAGATACAGTAAAACAGATAGTATGTTCTGTTTGAAAAAACTGAAAAATCGATTTTTGAAAATTGTAAAATTTATTTTTTTATAAACACTATATATTAAATAAAATTGTATTTAGTTGATACTATTTTTTTTTTAAATATTTTAAAAAATATATTAAAAAAAAATTCAGTGAAATTGAAAAACGTGGCAACATCCCATCAAAGATAAACTATGGTTATAAAACCTAGAAGGAGACTGATAAGAATATGTAAAATATGTAGGGTATTTTATTTTAAAAACAAAACCCCCTCCGTAGTCAAATTATTTTAATGTATCTTGAATCGGGAGTTTTTTCTATCTCTAATAATAATATTTAATGAGATATCGAACATTGCGCGCTTAGGGACTCTCTGGCAACTTTTTCAAAAGCAAAATATTGCAGCTTTGTTGCATTTAAAAAAATACATACACCAGGTCTAGAATTGTTTTTGGAACATGGGGATTTTACATGTAAAAACAGAAACTTGAAAATATTGGTTCCCCTAATAATTTTAAACCAAAATATTACATGCCAAATTGTAGAGAATAAAAAAACTGTATCTATTAATCTTTTTTAATTTATTTTGTAACACCTTATGGTTTTGAAATAAAAAGAAAAATAATAATTCACAATTTGTGATAAAAATAATGGGAGTATTAGGTATGACATATGATAATTAATTGAAGCTGTTCGGGTGTGTTAACATTAATCTAAGTTAATGTAATGTTTGTGGTTGCAAATAAAACATGCTTTAAAGTTTGTTTTGAACCCACAATTTAAACTAAATAGCAAAATGTCAAACTAATGAATTTTATTTGGTTGATACATGTTATGACTAGAACAATTTTACCACAAATTGTGAATTCCTTTTTCTTTTTATTTCAATACCGTAAGATGTTACAAAAAGAATAAAGACTGATTTAGGTACAGTTTTTTTATTCTCTTAACTCTTGTATTTAAAATAATTCACGGAGCCAATATTTTATAACTTCTGGATGTTCCAAAAACGATTCGACATTCGGTATATTTTCTGGCCGAATTTTTTTAATCTTGCACCGGGAGCATAAACGCACTACGAATTCTATATCCCACATTTTTTTGAGATTTTTTTGGCAACTATTCCAATAGTAAAAATTTTTAATAACGCCCATGAAAATTTCGGCCAATTTTCAACAATTTTCAAAATTTAACGAAAGATATTTTCTTGTAGATTTTGTATTGCGGAAATTAGTTTTGGACTGATTTCATCAATAAATAACTCCTACCATTTTTCCAGAATCGGCAACCTAAATATGGCAATATTTTGAATAAAAAAAAATATATATTCAACCCGAATATTTTTAATTCTTTCACCGAGAGCAAAACATTGTGAATTCCTTTTTCTTTTTATTTCAATGCCATAAGATTTTACAAAAAGAATAAAGAATGATTTAAATACAGTTTTTTTATTCACTTAACTTTTGTATTTAAAATAATTCACGGAGCCAATATTTTACAACTTCTGCATGTAAGATCCCTATGTTCCAAAAACGATTCTACATTTGGTATATTTTCTGGCCGAATTTTTTTAAATCTTGCACCGGGAGCATAAACGCACTATATTTTTGCAGTCAACACGACTATATCTATATTCCATATTTTTTTGAGAATTTTTTGGCAAATTTTCCAATAGTAAATTTTTTTCATAACACCCATGAAAATTTCGGCCAATTTTCAACAATTTTCAAAATTTAACGAAAGATATTTTCTTTTAGATTTTGTATTCCGGAAATTAGTTTTGGACTGATTTCATCAGTAAATAACTCCTACCATTTTTCCAGAATCGGCAACCTGAATATGGCAATATTTTGAATTCAAAAAAATATATTTTCAAACCGAATATTTTTAATTCTTTCACCGGGAGCAAAACACGCTGTTTTTGGAATCAGCACGTCGAAATCTACGTGCCAGAATTTTTTAGGATTTTTATGCAATTTTTTTCAAAAGCAAAATTTTTCAGTATGTATCTTCTTTTTTTGAATATTTCGACCAACGTTCGATGGTTTTCGAAATTTAAATAAAGACGCTGTATATACCGGGTCTTGAAATGATTGTACAGAGATGTTGTTATATTTTGTTTAAGTCTTAGAGTGTTGAGAATGAAATTTCTATAATACGATCTTGTAGATTTTCCATACTATGTAGATTTTTTTTCTTACGCAGGTGGAATTGGTTGATGAAATAATTGATCATCGAAACAGGCTTCCACCTATATTTACACACTGATTTTTAGCAGCATTAAAATTAATAATCAATAAAAATATCTACCAGGTGCCAACGTTGTATTATTTTTTTTGGTGAAATTTTTTGTCACGTATTTTTAAAAATCAGTATCTCAATATTTACGGAAATTTTGGAACGCTGTTTTCATCAGTATTTTCAGCTTACAAAACACTTGAAACTGTAGGAAAAACATGGCCGATTTTTTTTTTTGTCAGAAATAAGATACAATAAAAGCAATTTCGTCGACACGAGTTGCTTTTACTATACCTCATTTCCTGCAATAAAAGTCGATAATATTTGTCCTGTAGTTTCCAGAGTTTTGTTCGAGTGGTGAAAACCGCGTTCCAAAATTTCCGTAAATAATTGAGATGTTGATTTTTTTAAATAAGTGATGAAGTTTGACCAAAATAAAAAAAAGAGATAAAAAAAGCCCTTATGTTATATGGAGAAAGTTCTAGGGAAGTTATATTTCAAATTTCATAACAATAATACGTGTGCTATTAATGAAGGCATTAAAGAAATTTTTACCGTTTAGTAGTTTTTCAATTGTTTGTAAATACAATTTCCGATCTCTGATACAACATATGTGATAATTTTATCCCGTTGAATGTTTAGTACATTGAACGTAAAAAATTCGTTTTCACTTGGTGTTGTTAGCTTATTTTCTCTAACCGATCAATGTTTGTTCTATGTTTGAGTCACATATAAAACCGTTAGAACTAACTGTTAAAATTTGAAATAATAAACAATTAAATGAAAATCGCGCAGATATACAAGTGACTCATACAACCAGGGGTCCACGGTATGTACAGTTATAACAATAGAAACCCAACACAAACACCAACCCATTGTCAACCATGATGGATCCAATTTCTTCAGAAGAAACTGTGGAGCCTATATTTTGGCAACTTTTGCTCCATTGATATAGCGCGAACATGCAAAAATACAAAAATCAGCGAACTAGTGTACACCATAAGTTTTTGTAACAAGTGTACAACGAATTTAATATCTTCCAAAAATTCGATTAGTGTTAAAACAACGATATATTTTGTAATTTATTGTGATACCAGAACAAAAGCATTCGTAATACAATTTGCATGTTATAGATGAATGATGACTCAGAATGTTGTTGAATGAAAATATAATTAAGTCGTGTTTTTAAATCCAATTTTTCAATTAAATATTGCCTTGATGCATTGATTGATAATAATTAGTTCAATTAGACCGTTACTTTAATGTAACTATTATGCATAATACTTAATTACTATTTTACGTTAACAAATATGTATTTTTTCTACAGTTTATACATATTTAAATTTCCTCAAAAATTAACGAAAATTTCTTTAATACAGTAAAATTTCTTGTCTACGAAATTTTTTTTTTATCGTTAAAAATATCATTGATTATCACCCACTTATACCACACATATTAATTTATTTCAGGAAATCAAGCTCCAAATTCAAGAGCCGACAAGCAGTTGGCTTTACTTCTAGCAAAACAAAAACAGTTTAAAGAAGCAGCTCTACAGGCAAAACGCAAAGGGGAAATCGATCAGGCAAAAGAATATCTGCGAACTGCCAAAGGTTTCGATCCCTTGATTGATGCAGCTAGTTGTGGTCTACCTGTTGATCTGGCGACATTACCAGTATCACCATCTGCTAAGTCGCAGCTAGAAAACGAGTATTTTCTTTTACATATAGTCATTAGAGCCAATAAAGATAATTTTCTTGAAGGTACGATATCGTCATGACTGACGAATGCACAGAAGACGACAACTCCAACGTCGATGTTATGACGAGATTAGAGCAACAACTTACCAAACAGTTGAAGATGTGTCTTAGTACTCGGGATCATCATAAGGCTCTTGGCGACGTTGCCGGCACTAATCGTTTTGAGAGATTAGCCTTGAACGTAACTAAAGATTTGGACATTGTGAGATTAGCACGTCGGACTCCCGATGCAAGAGTTCCGAAATTTCATTACGAAAATAAAGATTTTTCCATTGTGAAGAGCTTCACGGAGTTGGGTGATAATGATTTAGAATTAACTATAGTTAGAGGGATAAGTTACACTTGCAGTAATCCCAAGGAAATTGATACGTATGTTAAATTTGATTTTCCGTATCCACAAGTAAGTAAATATAATGGAAAGTACTGGTTTTATGCGACTTTGATTTACAGGATGAGCCATTTAGTCAAAGAACGACTACCGTTAAAGATACGAATAGTCCCGAATACAATGCTACATATACTATACCTATACTAAGGACGGCTAGGGTTTGTCAACGAGTTTTTAAAAGACAGTCGGTTAAATTTGAGGTATATGCTAAAGGGTAGGTACAAAATTAATTTTCATGCATGGACAATCCACTCCCAACGTATTTCGAGCCGCAATTTGTTCAGTACCAAAGCGGTTTGTGCTTGCAACTTGTGTTTCATTCTTCACTTGCTTTCAAAGAACTATTTTGAGCAATTTAAAGTCTGTTATTAACTTCTGGCCACTAACACTAATTTACTCATATATCACGTTGGTATTTAGTGACGTAGCTAGAAATGTGTAGATTAAGAAATTGAATATTTATGTAGAGGTAAGTAACAAAATCTTTTCTAATGGTTTGAGTAGGCCACATAATGTATTTAAAAACTTAATGATCTATATGATATAGAAAAAGTCAGCTAAATTTTTGAAATTTAATGTTGAAAAAAAATACGTTGGTAACATAATGCCTTCCTTATTTGTTCAAACATTTTGATTTTACTATAAAAAAAAGTGTCAAGTAACTGCAATACCAAGATCATTATTTTAAAAATATTTTTTTCATGGCTTACTAGACAACTTTTTCCATCATAGGGTATTAAATGTTTGTGGAGTGTAGTTTTTTCTGCAACGCGAATTGCTTAAAGAATGTCTGTATTAATAATAGCGATTCATATTTGAGTGGCTCCTTTTTCTTAATACAGCAGTGTATCTTGCGAACAAAATAAATAAGTCGCTTGGGCAAGGCTAACAAAAGATCCTTCACTATTATGAAGTAGATTTTTTTCAAGCCTTTAGACACTTCATAACTAGCATGTGTTCTAAGTTTTACCTAACAAAGCAAAAGTTGGTTATTAGTAATATTAACAAAAATTCGACTGCTATTTAAGATTCACTTCAAATCTTTTTTTCTTTTTTTTTTTTTTGGACATTAAATAAATTCATGTGCTGTGAACATTGATATTATTCATCCGGTATTTTTTTGGCAGTCAGAACAAAATAATGAAAATAAACGTAAACATGTTGACAAAATTGAACCTTTTGTTTACTTGATTAAAAAACGTGTCTTATAAATTAAATAGAAAACTGGCAAACCAGCTTTTTCGAAATGCAACGTGATTCAAAAATAAAAATTTTTAAAATATAATTTTACAACAAAAACATTTTTATTAATGTTTGTGAATTTTGTTAGGTTGGCAACATATTTAAAATTTTATGATGCCACACTTAATTTTCTTAATTGTCAAATTCACGTTTATGACCCCAAGTCATTCTACATTCTAAAATTACATCTAGATTAAAATGACAGCGAGTGGCTCTGTGTGTCAAAGGTGATCGATGAAACAAAGTTCTGAACAAATAAAAGAACGCAATTTGTAATTATCAAAAATTTGTCAACTTAAAAGTAATTACTTAACCTGACTTACTCTAAAAACATTCAATAAAAAATTGGTTGAAAATTATTTCGACAAAACTTCCTTCGCCCTTGAAGTGTAGTCCGAACAATCTCTCTTCTTTAAAATATAAAATTTGAGTTTGCGCTTCTCGTTTTTCTGATAGCCTATATAAAGTAAAAACCAGTGGCGTAACTAACACCCCGCGGTCCGCACAAATATGGACAACATGAAATATATTTAAGATAGATATTCTAAATGTCTAAGTGCAAGCTTAACTTCGACTGTTTATATTTATACAGGTTGTCAAAAAGTCTTAAGGTCGAGAAAAACCATTAAACTATTCCTTACAAAAAACAAAATAAAGATTTAGATATGTAGATAAATCAAAAAACGTGAAAATTAAGCCACTATCGTCAGATTCATCCCAAAAAATTTTTAAGTTTTTTGTAATGTTATGAAATTAAGAAATTTATGAACAAAGACAAAATACCTTCACAATTATTTTGTATAATGAAAATCCAATTGATTTCATATACCCCTAATTAACCCCATTCTGTTTTTTTTGCTAAAAGCACTCTTAAATTTGAAGAACATTTATTCGGCAAAATTGTAAGATGCCGGACGAATTTTGATTGACGATTTACTATGCTTCCAATAACCTTAAGATATTCGCAAGATTTCACACCATTCGGTTTTTGCGATTCCAAAGTTAAATTGTAAAATTTTGATTTAAATGCCAAGGATAAAAACTCAAGACGGATTCATAAATCACATATGCAAGAGCATGTTATTTTATAATTATGAACATTTATCTATTCGGTAGAATTGTACCATGACATCATCATTTTTGGGGGAGGCCATTAAAACATACAGGTAGCACGTTTCTCTACATTTACTTTAACAGTACATACATGCCTTTATTTTAACTTAGAGGAATTCTCATAAAAAATAAAAAAAAAATAATCGCATAATAAAATTTTACCATTTTTCGAAAGAGCTCAATATGTTGTATTGTACTTCAAGGGTATGGGAAGTTCAGTCGAGTTAATCTTCGACCAATTTTTTAAACTCATTTCTGGTAGGTTACTTGAAATTAATGTAAATTATTACAAATGTTTTATATGAAGAAAAATGTAAAAGTACGGACTGCAGATAATACACATAACCTACATTTTTGATTTGTAATTGACAATTTTGACATTTAAATCTTTACGCTCGCATTTCAATGTGAATTCGGGAACGCAGTGAGAGCAAATTTAGCTAGTTGAGGCAATATACTACAACGAAGCATTAGTACCTGCCAGCTGTCATCTTCTCAACACGTTTGTTATGTGGCACGATCATGTCAAAATGAACAAGTGTGCACTCAGTTAGTGCCAATTATTCAGAATTGCCAACACAAAAATTTGCTTCAATCGTTAATAGGTAGTTATCGGGTAGAATATGTAGTGAACACTTCAATATAATAATTCATTTGTTACGGCTCTGTTAACAGCGTAATTTAAGAAAGATCAACGAGTGTGATGCTCGACTGCATCATGATCTTTCGGGCACGTCAAGAACTTGCTCGGTGATCTGGGGTGTTAATGCAAAGAAAGTGTACAGGACTACGACTCTGGAGAAGATCTACTCTTAAGGTCTAATGAGTTCGCATCAATACAAAGATTACACACGACTTATTTTCGGGGTTTAGCTTGCTTTCGTCATATCTCATTTTTGAAACCCCATTCCTAGTTTTTTAACATGCTAGCAAACCTGCAAACCTTTAGGAATGTCAAAACTTCACTCATAGGAATCGTTCCATCTTGAGTAGAGAAACAAAAACGGTTTTACCTGACTCTACTCGGATCGAGGTCCATTGTTGATGGCTACTTTGCGTTTTCGGTTGATGAAGCTCTAGTAAGCTTTGGTACATCACACCTAGTAATCTCGACTAGCTACAGGTAGGCGGTCGTCGATATCGATACGACGTTGTTAGACTTTCTAATGCACAAAGGTTGCCATTTCAGGTTGGTACAGCATTTACTTTGTCCATTTCACACCTGCAAATTTTACCCCTTTGAAGGGTGAAATCCAGGTCATAATTTTCAACCTTAAAACGACGCACTTCGTAGTTGTTCAAGAAAATAGCGTTAATGAAATTAATATGTTGTGTTTATTGAGTATGATCACTATCTTGGCTCGGGGGTTCCTTATGGTATGCTCAAAGTCGTAGATATCTCGTAATCGATTATTGATGGTTTTATTTTTAACAGTCACAAGTACGGTTATGCGTGTAGAGTTTCTCTGGGTGATAAGCAGATCTTTTGCATAAAACATACACCGCCTTTTTTATCACTCCATTAAGCAGCTAGGAAAACTGGTTTAGCGCCACCATCACAGTAGCAGTTATTTTTTCTACGAATTATCTTAGGAGGTCTGCGTCCATAACAACTTATGTTTTTCGCCGAAACATGTTTTCTCCGGAACCGTGGTTGGCAAGGTGTTCCGCGTTTTGCTTCACTTGTAAGTCTTTCTTGGCATTTGGTTACGTCGTGATCATAAACACGGCGGTGCTTATACTCGACCTGTTTTTTGTTTGTTTGCATTTTATGTTTGCCTCCTCGTTCCTCTATCTTTGAGAGCAACTCCCACTTGGTGTGCAGCTGCAGCGAGGTCGGCGAATTTATTGACGGTTTTGCGGAGAACTCGATCAGAGACCATAAATAAAATCCACTTGCTTTTTCTCCGCGTTCACAGGCTTAATTTGGGCTAACAACTTACTTTAGGCAAAATTTGGTGCATTTAATTTCAGATGACATTTTAACGACTTCGGCTTACGTCATGATTAAGCTGTTTATACGAGAGACCAGGTTAAAGCATCTTAAGTAGAGTCGAAGGGCTATTTTCAGACAATTCTAGAGTTTTTTTTTTACGAAACCCTTGGTCAATGACCAAGATCCAATAAGATGCGAGGGTGCTTTAAATGGGAGTTGTTGTATGTTGCAGCAGCTCGTCGAATTTCGTTACAGTAATCGAAAACAAATAAGACAAAAACAATGCTAGATGTGTAGAATGTTATTGAGACTTTTAAAATTTAATTGGTAAACGTCATCGAAAATTTATAAATTTCATTGAACCTTTTAGTTGTTTAAAAACTTGTAAAGTTAATGAACTAATAATCATAATACAAGTTGAAGTTTATTTAAAATTTAAATGTGTTTTTTAAAGTAAGTTCATACCACGTGTACAAATATATTTATTCGTTGATCAACAAATATCACAGTATATTTAATTATCAATTTAATGACTAGAGAATACTAGCGTTTGACATGTAACTCAATCCTCTTGGTCGTAAATCAGATTGCTTACATCAAATTTGCATAATAATAATAATACAACGAAAATTTCTAGATGTCATGTAATGAATATTACATAATGTGTAGCTACACTTGTAAGGCTGCACACTTTGAACAGAAAAGTATAAAATATCAGGGTCATGTCAATTATGACGTTATCTGCATTTTTTAGATAAAGAACGGGAGCTCTAAAATTGTCTGTTTAAGTGTTTAAAATGTCACCGTTGCAACTTTCGAATATGATTAATTTTTAATTTATTAAAATATTTTACATTCATGGATGAGTGTGATGTAAAAGGACATGTAATGTTAATCACATGAGCCCTAACTTTTATTGCCAATAATTTTATAGCATTTCTTAAAATTCTTATGTATCCAAAAATAAATAACCCCCAACAAAATCAGTACGTATCTTTAATTTTTTGTGGTTATTTTATTTATTTTTCCTATAGCGAAATATTTATTTCATAAATGTCTTCCACAAATAGTGATAAAATGAAATATGTTATTACTACTATTATTGTTTATTACCATATTAAACGGACCAACAAGACACAGTTTATTGTATGAATAATGTGTTTCCCAAATTTAGAAAAAAATTTAAAACAGTACACATTTAGTTTAATTATAAACATCATATACATAGCGAAACCATACTGAAAAAACCAAAAAACTGTACTCACACATAGTTAGAAAAAGGCAGTCGTATTTTTTTCGCATTTTTTTAAAGTGTATATTTTTAGTAGCTACATTTTTGACATTAACTGCTTTTGCATGCTTATTGGCACTTCGTCCTGTGAATTGACTCAGTTGACGGCTTAGTCACGCATTCTCGTCTATCCTAATGTTGTTGGTGGTGGCTTTATAATAATTATTATTGCTCAAAATTGAGGGTGCCATATATGGTATCTGCTAGCTGCTGGTGCGCTAGCAACATTGGTTGTTGTTTCAGTGGTTGGTTCCGAGGAGACACGTTAATTGGTACAGCTGCCGTTAAATTACAACCCTTGGAAACTCAATGTGAGTTACACGACAGTTTTGACGTAAGTATTTTGTAGCTCATTGTTAAAAAATTGAGAAAACGTACTTTGTAGCTACTGGAAGGAAGGAAGAAGATTGGAGGTAAACTCGAAGTGCGCTTCAGACTTCGACATCCAATAGTAGCTCAACAAGTAGAGCAGTTGCATGAAAAGTGGCTTATTATTGATAATTAGAAGAGTCAGTTGGCGAAATATAATACCTGTACCGTACTTTTTTATATAGGAAGTCTATTTTGCTAAAGTAAAGCTTTAAATCAGCGTACCTATCCTATATATATCATAGTGATGCAATTTTTTTATATATTGAATAACCAAACGTGTAAAATTAACTTTATTATGTAACACGCCTTATGGTAATCTTTTATTGATTGTTGTCAGTCCTTCAAGTAAAACCTTACAAGTGCAATTATAAATTGTTTTTCTGCGTTTTTTGTATTTTGTACAGCTTCACTTTTCTGGGTGAATTTTATTCCGTGCAGATGTAGAAATAAAGGTGTGGCATACTGAATACTGTAACCAAAGCTGAAAAAATAAAAATTAAGTTAATGCCTTTTTTCTTTACATCGTTTGATTTGGTATTCTTTCATAGCGTGACGTTTGAGACAGTTTTAAGGTTTTTCTATCTATACAAAGTTTTTGATATACAAGGCTTAAATTTACTTATGTTCAGAATGTACAATTAGGTGAATATAATTTAGTGTTTTAATATTGCTAATCGTTGCATTGATAATCAAAATTAATCCGTTGCATAGAGAATCTAGATGGAATTATTAAGTTGTTTACGTTTTCACCGGCACATTCTGTATGACCTAATTATATATGGATTTGCATCATACAAAACAGGTAATATATATTAAAAATAGTATAAATAATCCTAGAAATCACCTGATGTAACTTTTTATGTTATTGCTAAGTTTTTGGGACATCGTTAAAAATGTCGTTTTCCTTTGTAAACATGAATATTTTTTCAGCAGCCATGACATTTTTCCACATACGACGTTACAATAATTTGTCTCCTACGCCACACTTCCGATTGCGAGAAAATTGTTTTTCTATTCGTAATCAATACGCGGTGTTACATAAAATGAATTTTTAATATGAAACGATTTATTGTTTTGTGTAAATCTGAGAAATGTAATTGCGCATAACAAGCACCACGAATAATTCAGTGATTGGAACAATTTTAATGCTAGTACATTACAAGTATCCATTATTTTTTTTTTGTAAAGTCATTAACTATTTGAAACGTTTGTTTTAGGATTTTAAATGTGAGTTTCGATGGTTAAAATTTGACTAAAGTATGATTGGAAATAGAAGTTTGCTGATTTGTTTCGTAGTACACTACAATTAGAATTAATATTTAATAACGACTGACATCTAAAATTATCTCCTTCGATGCATAATATCACGTTTTTTAAACATCCGAGTTAATGCCAAACATCCGTTGTACCACAGCATTGAATGGAGTGGTGGTAGATCACATCTTGGAAACAGTTTAATATAAATATTTTATTATTTTTGAAAACTGCCAGACAATTGCAATTTTGTTAATATTAATACAATATTATTAATAAAATGAGAACTAGCACAAAGTGCATGCAGAAAAAACACAGTTTAAGTCGTTGAGAAACGAGATTTACTTTTTCACATGTTTTCCAAAAGCGTTACGAAACGTACTAATTATTGTGTCGAATATCTGTACCTACATATATGTAGTTTCGTTAAAAGTTATTTTAAAAAAAATGTTACCGTTAGGTTACCTTCGAGAGCATAATGGTATTTATATATTTTTTATTCACCTGAGTTAATAGTTCCTGATTTAGACGAACATTAGATAGAAGCAACATTTCTTGTGATTAATTGAAGATATAATTGATGCAAAAAGTTAAGTTATTCATCATTAAAATGCCACGTTGCAGGTTTATCTTTTAATGAGTTATGCCGAAAGACCAATAAAAAACACGATGAAAGACAGCCATGGATTTTTGAAGATTTGTCTTTGATAAAATTTTCCTCCTGTCAGATTACTGTCACTTTGAAAGTTGGAGATGAAAATGCAACGATCAAAGAAAAAAGTTCAAAAAGCCACAGCTGTCTTTGATCGTCTTTTTTTTTATTGCTCTTTCGGTATACGCAGTGTAGACGAAGAGATTTGCGGCAACCAACAGTGCTTGTGGTAAGGAATCTGATAGTAAGTGCAAAGCAAGTTCTTTTAAACCCTCAATAAAAATTGTAAAAACTCAGTTATAACGTGATGACGCAAACATTCCGCCAAAATTTGACATGTAAACAAAATGTTAAAATTCGCGAAAAATTCAAAAATTTGGTCTCAAACCATAATAATTGTCAACAAAAAGGAACCCTACGTTGTGTGTTTTTTTTTTTATGGCGGAGTGCATTATAATGCAAAGTGGTGAACCCCGGGTTAGAAAAGCGCCCCTAAATAAAACACATAATATTGAAGACAAAAATCGTTTATTGCTCCTTGCTTAAAATTAATTTTCTTTGTAACTGTATCAATCATTGCTGTGAATCCCTCTCGAATGATAGTAATTTTTGTCATAATTATATCAGAAACATCGGACTCTGGCATATCTTCCGATTATATCATTTTACAGAAAACTTTATGTTTCTTCCATATTTTGGTGTATGTAGCTATTTGTTTGGTCGAAATCGAATGCACCTTTCGAAAACCAGGATAGATTCCTTAAAATTTTGATTTTTTAAAAAAAGGTTGTGTGGAAAAACGGTAGATTTCAAAATTTTGACTTTTAAAAAAATGTTGTGTCCTGAAGAGGCCTTACTAGTAGTGAGAATAAACGTGCAAATTCACTCTGAGAAAATAGTTTGGATGTAAGAAAATGACACATTCATACAAAACAACATAAACATAAACTACATCTCCGATTTCGAGTCCATGATGATATTAATTTAACTTAACTGATGATAATTTTCAAGGCCTTTCTCTCAAATTGGATCAACGTTGAAGATTAATTTAAATGCTATATATGAACTATTTTAAATGTCGAGTAGAAGTTGTGAAGTGTGAATAAGTAATAAGAATAACTTAATAAAAACATCAAAACTGTAGATATGTCATGTTCAAACAAGTCAAGCTTGGATAAATGAATTTCCTGTCACATGTTTTTCTATGAACATTTGCATTTACTGCTATTATTAAATTGTATTTTTTAGAACCATGAACAGTTAAAAATCATAACATGAAGTCTGGATTTACAAACAATGAAACAAAAGATACACGTGTTGATGGAATAGTCAAAGTTTTACACATTTTTGATTAGAAAATCATTAATAAACTACCATTATTCTCGTTGAAGGGGGACCATGGCGTCGAATGCGATTTTGTTTTTGTGTAAAAAATTGCCCTTTCCTGAAATCACAATCAAATTCTATGTATCAATTTTAATACGTGTTCAACAAAGTCAAGTCAAAAATACATTTATTTAAGCTGGTTGGTACAGTTTTCCTTAAGATATTACATGGCATGGTGTGTGGGGCGCTGCTGAGGCTTAGGGCCTTTTCACCCAAACTACCAACCCATAGGGTGACATTCACTAATTTCCTAATAACTCGAGAACATCCATGGGTTGGTTACCTGCCTACGTTACTGAAATTCTTTTTTTTTTTTTTGAAACCCGGTTTGCGGTGTTTTTAGTCTCGGCCCGAAATTTATTTTTTTAAACTTGGGACACCACATTGCATAGGCTACAGAGTGTTTCTAGTAACAATGAACCGTTATTGATTCAATCCATAAAATAAACATTAATTTTTCGAAACATCTACAGAAGTAATTCTAAAAATAAGATTGCAAAGAAGAACTACATATACAGAACCATGCTATTGTGAACACATCAAATGAAATTGATTTTGCATAATTTTCAGCGGACATTGTTAAGTTTTTGAAAGAAGCGAACAGATAAATTGTTATCATTGATTCACCATGGTCGTGATAACCTTAAAGCGAGTGCAAAATTTCAGAACAAAATATAGTTGTACAATTATGATTTTTCCCCCAAACATTTAAGTGCTTAAAATTAAAATTAAAACTGGATTGAGAAATCACAAACGTACAAGCATATTAATTTATATAATACTTAAAAAAAAATTAGCAAAATTTTTAGTGGAAATGAATAGATGAATTTTAACTAGCATTGTATAGTCTACACGATATTCTTAAAATGTATCTAAAATTTCAGAACAATCCGTCCATTTTAGACAACAGATAGGTATACGGAAATGGAAGACCTACTTTTTCATATTTTAGCTTTCATAAAAAGTCAGTAAAGTAAGAGAACTAAAAGTCGGTTATTCTTGATCATTGTGAGAATTAAAAACAGTTCCAGTTGTTTGTTAGAAAATGGGAAAAAAAACTTTCGTAAAAATTGGAAATTTTCGGAAAGACATAGAAAAATAATAAATAAATAATTTAATAATTAGATTTATTAAACAAAAATTACATTTTTTATTTTGTTGCAAAAAGTTATTATTGTGTGTATTTTTATCATTATAATATTAATTATGGAAAACAATTACACTAAATATCGTAGAACTAAATACAATCGTCTAAACGAGAAATGGTAGTTGTTTATGATAAAATGAAATAAGGTGACCTATTAGTTTGATTCTAACATTACGTAGATAATTTTTTCCCACCAAGGCTTCCTAGCCTTCTTCGTTTCATTTAGTTTTCTTCCGTTTCCCACAGACAATTTCTTACGTGCAACCTCGATCAGAACTAAAATTTCTCTTTAAAATGTCAAATTATAAATCTTGTTTTTACAACTCTACTGGCTCAGCTGTCAGTGCTATTGATTATGAATGATTTAATAATTAATGAAAAAAATACGACAACATATTTCCAGCATAGTGATGAATGAATTAATTCCTTCTAGACTAACTACACCACTGTGTTAGTGATAGTGCTGGATAACTAAATAGTAAGCCCTGCTACCGTGTTACAATAAAATTTAAAAAGTGTACTGATAGATATTTAAAGTCAACATAAAATTTATTTCGTCAGGTTGAGAACATTGTTGTGCACTAATAACTTTCACTATAACATTGTTCAAGTGTCCTTTTCACTTTGCACAACTAAAAAACAAAAAATTCTACTAGCAAACTTTGCTACTAGAATGAAAAAAAACATCGGTATGCACTCGAATGTGTAGCGAAATGGTAGGTGTTTTACATTTTTTGCTCAATGTAGTACAATCTCTATTACAAGAGCAACATTTAATAATAAATAAAAACATTGATTCTGGAGGGTGTGCCCGCCCTTGATAAAAAGGGTCATCGCGAACCACTCCTCCTTGATACTCAAGTAAATGCCACTAGTTGCACAGCTACTACACACCTATTATGTTTATAAAGATCGTTCCACTGATGTAATAAGTTTACTTTATTACATGTTTTCGTTTTATTTTATTCTAAAGGCACTGGTGTTGAAACTCTCCATAATAACATTTAGATGAACCGGCTGGACTATATTTTGAGAATTTGAGGTCATTTTGCAAAAAGCCACTTGATTGTGAATAT